CTACTAGTAAGGCACTTGTTACTACTAGTAAGGCACCTGTTACTCCTAGCAAGGCACCTGTTGCTACTAGTAAGGCACTTGTTACTACTAGTAAGGCACCTGTTAGAACAAAAACACTTCAGAAGATTGAAAACCTGGAGCTCCATCCACGCTGCCTCGTTGTAGATGTTCAGGTGCTCGTATGAGGTTGGAGCCAATGACATCAGCTTTAGCCTCACTGATCAGTTGTGGCTGACTTGTGGTGCGGCATGATCATGCATGCCGCACGCCGTGCATGCTCCGAGCACTTCACCTTTGCTCAGGAATGCCAAAGGCCTTGAACTTCGCGATGAAGGTGGCCTGCCGAAGCCCCTATTACTTGTATGGAAGTGGACACGTACAAAACACACAAAATCAAATGACTTAGTGGGTTGTACATTAAACTATATATATAAACACAACAATGACTCTTCTGTAGTGCTTAAAATAGCAAAGAAGTGCACCTGGCAAAGCAATGAGCTGCAAATAATGTGTCTCTACTACTTTTGGGCCAGTGCACCTGGACATCTGGCGAGTAGAAGCCCTTATTCTTCACGAGCAGCCTGCTGTTGGGGACCTGAACAAATAGAAAGCAACAAGAGAAAAGGTCAGGTCCTCTTTGATAAGGCTTCTTTTCAAGGCGCACCATCTGATGGACACGGACGCCGCCATCTGAACATCCTCTTACATATCCCGTTCGCACGTTGGTTGAGCAGCTTCAAACAATCATCGCGACAATGGCACCCAATGGTTTTGCCACAAGTTGGCCTCCCTCAATTTTTTCATTTGTCAAGTTTACCTCCCATTTTCAGAATCTATAACATTCTATGTTAGCAGTATGATGGAGTATGTATGTAGTTTCGTTTTTCACCAAGCTCGAACCCAGCCTCGTGCAAACATCTCGCCCAAAGCGCCACTACTGGATCACCCACCTTCGCCAGGCAGCTGAAACCTCCATGCGAATTAGCCGCATGCCGTGTGCAACCATTACGAACATTAGCTGTCTCTGTCTGAGAATGCCATAAGCCTGCAGTGGATTTGCATCACCCCACTTTCAACTTGCCAACAGAAATTGAAGGATTTAGGTCAAGAAGAGGATGATTCAGGATGATTATCAAGTGCTGCCTGCAAAACCAACAACACCCAAGCACAAGTGACGACTGCCTTATATTATGTGTCATTGCAAGCAATCGTGCTCTGAGATGGGGACTGCCGAAGGTAACGAACCCATTGCGGAGGGCAGGGAGCTCCCTTGGTTGAGTGCAGGACCTGTTTTTGTTGGAGCAAGGAAAGGCACTAGGACTAGGCCTTTTGGATCCTTTTATATAGCAGCATTCCGTAAAGACCTTCCAAAAAGGTATTGAGGACTCTTTTCGAAAAACACCGGCCTATGAAATACAGGTTGTGGCTGTGCGAAAGGCTAAAGCATGCAACAAGCTCAGGTCGCAGCTGAACGTCAGGGATCGCTGTTGGTGGTGTGTAGCACAAAAAGCACCTTGAATGCAGGGCATCTTCTTTGAGTCATCCAGGTATCATCGATCCTTGTTATGGATACATCCAACGACTCAGCAAAAAGGATCTTCCGTGTTTATTTTCCAAACAAAGTGTTCGTGGGAGCGTCTTGTTTCATCTAAAGACCTGTCCTGCTTTACTTAGTGTGAGACCCTGGAACTCGCACCAGCTCCTCACTGAATGGCTGCGTGGTGTCCAACCTGCAAGTGTCACGGGCAAAACTGGGGTCCAGGCCCAGGATGGGAATGTGAATGTATGTAGAAACAGCAAAACTACCTTTATATAGCTGTTTGTATGTTTTCTTTGTTCATACCTTTGAAGAAGTCTTGGCATTGTTTTAATTCCTTGCTACCCCTTTTTTGGGGAGGCATCGTCTACATGCGCAAATCCAAGGCAAGGGGACATCAACTCTAGGTTTCCAACGGATCAACGATCTCATCCACCAATCGGTAGTCAATGGCGCCAAGCCTCGAAAATGCCCAGCAAACACCTCTTGATGGCTCTTACGAGAACTTCTTCTGTATGAAGTATGATTATGACGTATTGTGAATGTATGTCCTTTTTGACACAATGCAACGGAACTCTGGAAGCGTCAACAGCTTTCAGGTGTCCGCCCGGTGGTATTGTTATAGCCAATGTAGGTGATCCTGAGCATCAGTAGGTTGGCCGTTTCTTGAAGAATTGTAAATATGAGGCTCTCTTGCAATCGCCATTTACTTCCAGCACTTCTTGATTTACCTCCAACTCTGCACTTGCAGCATCTTTCAGCCACAAACACTTTCAACCAATTTTGAGTTACAAAGGCTACACACCAACCCAGCTGTGATCCCACGAGTCCCAGGATGCGGCTGGACAGGTGCTGGTTTCCTCAGACAAGTTGAAAGACTAGAACAAATCATGAATCATGGGCGATAGCATTTGGCAAGATTTCGACTGACCAAGGCAGATGTGCTTGAATGATGTGATTGCTTTGCGACCAGCTTTCATATGACAAATCCAAAAGCCGGCTAGCAGCTATAGCAACAAATGTAAATACATTATGCAAACACATTGCAGCTCTGCGGCAAAGCGATCACATCAAGACGGTTGTTGGCCGTGTGTCCTGAATTCGACACAGCGCGAGCAAACGGGCGCTGAGCACGGCAGCATTGGCCTGCGAGCTCCACCAGGATGTCGATCTGATCTGCTCTGATTAGCTCGGAGGCCTCTGAGTGGACTTCCACGGACTGTAGACTGTGGAGTTGCGCATTTGGCCGGCTTATCAACACTTATATATTATATGTAGCTCTTAGTCAAAATCTTGACAGCACATGCAAGCGTCTGCCCAAACTGCTGGGCAACTAAGAGGACGTGCACAACAAGGTTGTCGCTTTAGACGGGGCCTATCGCTTTTAGACGGGGCCTATGGCCTTGATATGTAATTTCACTTTTTGCTTTTTCTAGGGGGACCTCTGAAATTGCTGGTTGTGGCAGTTGCAGGTGTGGCAAACTTGTCCTAAGACAAATCCTTGCTTCCCCTCATGACTTGCACAGGAGAAAAGATGTTTGTCAGGCCAGGGCCCTGGTCTTCAATGACCAGTGACGAGGGGATGCTACCATGTTCGCAAAAGGTTTAGAAATGCCACTCTCTACCAATGCAGTATGAAGATTGTGTCCCCTCACTTTGCTTAACTACCCTCGCAGATCCCTTGGCTGGCCTAAAGTTCATTTACCTCGTTCTCCTTATTTCGACAAACTATGACAAAGCTTAGCAGTACCTGTCCTGTCCCTATTCGCAGCGAAATACCGCGTTAGGTGATGGACCGGTGGACCGGCCAAGGCTCCAGCGTCAACGGCAGACATTCCAACGACCTTCCTCCAGCGATGTGCTGGCCTTGGAGACTTGCGAGACGGGACTCGTGTGGCGTGGAGACTGGATGTGGTGGCGGTGTGGCGGTAGTCTACCAGAACTCATGGGAGAACACTGTAAGTTCTACCCAAACTAGCCAGAACTGGAGGCATGGTAGTGCATGTGCACACATTCATGAGCCATCTTGATTTACCCTTGGAACACGGCACTAAGCTCTTGAACACCTCCGTCTTGTCGTCCTCCCTTGTGGCATTTGAGTAGATGAAGATTTCAAACTGCTCCTCAGCATGGGTCGAGTCAAGCTAACGTAAGGAACGAGGTTCTTTTCAGAGTCGGGCTGTATTGGCATGCTCCAGCAAGGCATGGACAAAAAAGGAGACCTGCGCAGTTTCAGCAATCAAATTCGGGCTTTGCTCTGCCAGTGGGCTGCCTTCACACTTTTGAGGCTGTGACCGAATGATGGAAAAAGTCCGGGGAGATGTATCTGCCAACGTTTACGTTCATCCTTGTGAATCACAGAATGACATAGAACCAAATGGGTTGTGCCGCACCCTAGTCGGAGTTGTCGCTGAGGAACCTGACAGGGTGGTGATAGACACATGGACTGGCTTCTTGGGAGTGTTGACCAATCTCACTTGGAACTCACAAAAAATAGCATGTTTAGAGAAACTGCAACAGCACCTTGGAGTTCGGCCAGCTTGTATGTGGAGAGCCAACCTACCAAAGCTCTCGCACGCTCGTCGAGTGTCCCAAAACGAGACACACCCAGTGCACCAAATTTCTCAGCACAACAAGCTACTGAGATCCTACTGCAGGCCTCACGGCAAAAGCGCTCAGCCCACGCACTGTGGGCCTGACCATTCGTTACAAAAGGCATACAATCTCGTGTAAGGCCAAGGGGACCAGAATCAATGTGTTTTCGGATTTCATCGCTACTGCAGCGGCAGAAAACTGCCAGCAGGTGTATCTTCTCGCTCATGCTGTCTAGGCCAGCCCATTTTCGGGCCCTAGCTATGCCTGTTGCACTTCTTTGATGCTTCAAAGCATGCTCTGATGTTGACCTATCTACTAACTACATCCGAGCCATCTTTGTGGCGACACGACACATTAGCAAATGCAGCCAAGGCAAGCGGCAACCCCAATATGAAATAGGATGCCTCAGGTCACTGATCAAATGGAGTTGAAGCCCATGTTGCCTGCTCTGGATGTCTAACAAATAGCTATGGCTGCCGATATCCGACCCAACAGAACTCTTTAACAGGCTTTTCTGCACCAAGGGTCCTCCAATGCAGTCCTTGTATCAAAGCCTGAGAGGCAAACACAGAGTCCGCCCCTGAGACTCAATTTGTCTTGACATTGTTTTGACGCTTTGCTTCAAGACCGGCAAGCATTTGGTGTCGCTCCATAGATCCGTAGAACTTGGCATCTTGGCTTACAAAAGCTCCTAGAAGAAATAGGAAGAAATACTTCACATTTGATTTATATAGTTGAATCGAGCTATTGATTCCAGCTGTGGCGCTCAATCACTGGCACATCTGGTTGACCATCTCCGGTGACCCAGAACGCTGCATCGCCTGGAGCGGTTTCTAGAGCTCTGTTGATACACCATTGATGCCATGAGAGGTTGGATCAACATTTCGAACGTGTGGCTGTTCCATCATCAAGTTTGTCAGTCCCCTACTGTTTTCCAGGGCTTGGAGCATCCTTGTGAATGTAACACTCTAAGACTCTAAGGCATTTGATTGCATTTGTCGAGTGGCTAAAGGGCTCAATCTGAAGATCACTGGGATCTAATCCCACTTCTGACGCAGCTCTGCGCAAGTCCTTGCGGGAGCGAGTGGATCGCGTGGGTTCAACGCCGTGAGGATCTTCACGTTCCGGTCGTGTCGTGTCAACGCCTCGAAGTGGTTTCATCGCGTCTGAAATGACTCTGTCGGCTTCTGTCAGCAGTTGTGCGCCGGTGTGCTAACTCGGACCTCTATTCTTGACCCCATATTCCTTCATACCAGGGACCCATTCAGCATCATCCAGCACGAGCAAAATGATTGTGCAATCTTGCAGAGCCTCTAGAATGAGGTTAGAACCACGTTGCACAACTGCCAGAGCTCCTTGTCATCGTGGAGCTCTTCCACTGCCTACAAGAACGGTCTTCGTGATATCAAGATCTCCACCATTCATAGGCACTGTAGAACAAACATCTCTAGGAATCTATGGTCCAAAAGGAACATCAAGGAACAACAGGTCTGGATGTTTCACAAACTGTCCACCATGTCTCTCTCAAAGCTCGTCTCAGCTCTTCTCCTTGAAGGCAAGGCCACAAAGAAAGCCGGCGAACAAGGCCAGTAGCAGGGTAGAGCACAAGCTCAACATCTGGTCAAACGGAGCCTTAGAAGCCAAGGAGTCCCAAACCGTTTGAGTCACACTGGAGTGCCGAGCGGCAATCCCAGTGTCACTGTAGAATAAAGGAGAGAAGGCCGAGAACGCACCTGGGCACACTGTCTGTCATCCTGGCATATTGAACATCTTGAACCGATGAAATCCGATAAACCTCTTTCTCTCTGAGGCAAATCTGAGGCAAAGGACCGCCTAAGATTCCTGGGAGGCCGTGCAAGTTGTGAATACCACCTCAGCACAGCTCAGCACGGCTCAGCTTTCTGAGTGCATCTGATGTTTCCCAGGCACAAGTGTCAATTGCACGGAAAAAGGGCAGGCGGGCGAAGGCGACCGTCGACCTTGGAGGGTCATGCAAGACTAGTCAAACGGGTGGAACTAACAGCATACTTCGTTCTTGTTGGCATCCAAGGGCCCGGCAAAGCGCCTGCTGCCATTCCCAAAGCACCGGCACCAAACCTCTCAATCTGCCAAATCTATAGTCTACTACAGATGTCTACAGGTTGTTTTGGAACTTCGCTTTGCATGAAACCGCACATCATAGGCTGATTGGTGAGGCTCTAGCGGGCCCACAATGCCGGCCGAAGCACCAATCGTGACGCCTGAAACTGCACTGTGGTGGAGCGAAGTCAAAACTCACTAAGTCACTGTTGACAAAGGTTGCACCTCAAAACAAGGTCATCAACGCCCCACCACATATCGGGATATTGATGGATATTGGGCTGAGTATCTCTTTTGCCTGCCTCAATGAGACGAACCCCTGATTGATGGATAATGATAGATAGATTGAAAGACCAAACTTCCAAGATATGGAAAAAGAGGTCCAAGTCCAAGTGAAACCTTCAGGAGCTTAAGATGTACAAGTTCTTCTTCCCGCAAAGATATCCACGTTCAACCGGATTCTTGGGCGAAAGGAAGTCCCGCATCGTCTGACCGCTTGAACCATCAGGGAACTTGTCCATCGATAGTCTCCTTTTAACATCTTCTAACTAGAAAGATAAGCCATAAGCCCCTTGTTATACGCTCACCCTACACACACCCTTAAAGAGTGTTTTTTCATGTTTCTTCTGGATATGTCTCGCAGTTGCCAGGCTTATGCCTCCAGCCAGCGTTGCATTCTGCACCGCTTGGGTGCCAATCTTCCCATCCTGGGATGGTCGTGCTCTCGGACATCTACGCTGACCTGTTCGTTCTTGGGGTTGCACAACACAACAAGATGGAACCCACGAACCCGAATGAATCACACGTTTAACTCAGCACGGTGTCACCGCAAACATAATCTTGTTGTGACACATGTGGTCGCTGCGAGCGCATCATCAGCGACGTGGCAGCCTCGCTTGTGGGACACTCTTGTCGGACACTCTTGTGGGACACTGTTGCGGGACACTCTTGTGGGACACTCTTAAGGGGCACTCTTGTGAGACACTCTTGCGGGACACTGTTGCGGGACACTCTTGTGGGACACTCCTGTGGGACACTCATTTGGGACACTCTTGTGGGACACTCTTGTAGGACACTCTTGTAGGACACTCTTGTGGGACACTCTTGTAGGACACTCTTGTAGGACACTCTTGTAGGAAACTCTTGTGGGACACCCTTGTGGGACACTCTTGTGGGACACTCTTGTGGGACACTCTTGTAGGACACTCTTGTGAAACACTCTTGTGGGACACTGTTGCGAGACACTCCTGTGGGCCACTCTTGTGCGACACTCAAGTCTCAAAAACGAGCCTTTCGTACGAGACTTCCTCCAAAAGTCACACGTCAAGTCTCAAACACGAGCATTTCGTACGAGACTTCCTCCAAAAGTCACACGTCAAGTCTCCAAAACGAGCGTTTCGTACGAGACTTCCTCCAAAAATGACACGTCAAGGCTCCAAAACGAGCGTTTCGTACGAGACTTCCTCAAAAACTCACATATCAAAGTTTGCAAAACGAGCGTTTCGTACGAGACTTCCTCCCAAAGTCAAGCGGAAACACCCATCGCGCAGCCCTGCCCAGCAGTTTCGCGATTCCCATCCCACTGTGACAGCGACATTCACCTCTACCACACCTCACAACCCCACGATTCCCTGCGCCTGCCACGCATCTTTCCGCGTCCACACGTCTAACGCGCACAAAGTCCTGTGCCTGCCACGAAATGTCACCTCCGTCACACCTCGCCACCTCACGATTCCCTGCGCCTGCCACGCAAATCGCACTTCCACGCCTCAACACCCACACAAAGTCCTGCGCCTGCCACGAAAAGTGCCAATATCATCTCATGTGAGCTTCAACAAAATTTACACCACACCACACGTTTGGAATGATTTCGACCCGTTGTGAGCACACTCCCATCCACCAAAATCACCATTTCAGCTGAGACTTATCACGAAAACACCGCCTCGATGCCACACCCTCACACGCAAATCCCAATGGCACGGCCACATCCAACACCTCAAAAACACGACTCTCCAAACGCTAATCCCAATGGAACTGCGCAGCAATCTGCGGATCTCACAAAACGCTGCGCCTGTGCAGCGACGTGCATCACGTTTCTTGCGCGACATGTCCGTGTCACGCAAATCACAATGGAATAGCGGTGCAAACTGACACGCGACACATCCATGCAAAGTCACTTGCAAAAGCTTCCCCCAATGGCAGCAAATTTGAGACGCGACGACGACAGACAACGAGAGACGACGACAGACGACGACACGACGCAAGCCATGCAAACACATGTCCAACCCCGACACCCCCAACTATAAACGGGAACCCTTCGCTACGCATTCGGGAAAAAACGCATAACACTGCTTCGCACGTACGGAAAACGCATAACAACGTCTCACTTCGCTCTCCTGCAGAATCTGGGTGAACCCAAATGTGGTGACCGTAGAGGTGAGAAGTGCCAACACAGTGTTCACGAAGGCCTCACAGGATCTGAGCCCTAAGGGCTCGCTGACAAACTGATCAGCTTGCGCAACACTTTCTCAAAAAAGAATCCGACATACCTTAGTTTACAAACAAACTCCACAGCAAGAAATGCTTGAGGGTTGTGGCCTTGCTTTGTTGTGCAGCAGTCTCTTGCCCAGCAGCAACAAAGGTTGGCCAAAACCTTGATTCCCAGGCTAAGCTTGAATCGTGTTGCTCTCGGGGCATGGTTCAAGCCAACCCATTGATTCATCCAGGGGGAAACGGACCCCTGCAAGTTTTCGTAGCTTGCAGCGCAACTTTAGCAACATCCACGCAACGCGTCCAGGATATTACTATCCAAGCATCATCCACAAGAAGATTGTGCCAATCAGCGAAAAAATATCCGACCTTATTGCACTAAAATAGCACACACATTTCACTCGCTATGCAGAGACGGAGAGTCTCTCAATGGTACAACTGGATCGATTCTGATCTTGGGTGCAGACTGGTAAGAGCTACATCTCAATCTGTCCTGGAAGAAATGGCAAAGAACCATGTACAGTATGTTACAGTATACAGACAGGATACTGTACCGGTATACCAACAACTCCCAACCAACTTGCTGTCATGTCACCAAACTGCTGCACTGTTCTAAAGGGCACACACTTCAACGAACCGGACTAGCCAGAACCGAACGAGACAGACGGGAGGCCGACGGGAGGCCGACGGGAGGCCCGTTGGGAGGCGCGGGTGGCTGCCTTCCGCCCCTGTGGCCCCCGATCTCCTTCACAGCAGGCCCCAAAGCCAGTGAAGCTGCCAGGCCGAAGTAGGCACCAAAGACCTGAGTCACGTGCGGCGAGGACGACTGGACGATGCACTCAAGTTGAATTTGGAAGCTTTTTGCAAACAATCCCCACAGTATGGGTATTGAATGGTCTTGAATCTTGAATGATCTCCTCCGAAAAGCCTTCAATTCAAACATTCTAACTGCTGATCCACTGAATCCACTGCCATCTTCTTTTGATTTCTTTTTTATCTTTTTTCTCAGTTGGACCCAGTTGGTTGCGACGATTAGGCTTGCAACGTGCACCATGATCGTACCACCTCCGTCATGCAGGTGCGGCCGCACGTCCTTGGCGACAAGCGCTGCCACACGTCCGCTGGGGGCATTTGACTCGGCCATCCGCACATGGCAGTGAACATGGAAAGAATTTGAACGTGTTGGACATCCGAATTGCCATTCCATCCGAAAACGTCTCCGGCCAGCGAAGCCCAAGATTCAAATTGGTGCACCACAAAGACCTTGCAAACCCATTGAAAGAAAACTAATTAACACAGTTGTTTTTCATGTTTGTTGCTACCAGTACAAAACTCGGGCTGACCTTGTTCACCGTGTACACAGAAAGCTCGATCCTCGGTGTTCACAGGTTGCTTCCCAACAAACTACAAGGTGGTCTGCAGCACTGGGACTCCAGCAACACCAACATGACAATCTGGGTAGGGCTTATTCTGCCTCAGATCAACAACGAGTGGAACTGGCGGGAAAATCTGTCAAAACTGCAGCTGAGACACCGATCAAGGCTCCAAAGGACACCAAGACCTGAAACATTGAGAGCTTTGTGTGCTGTGGGTGTTCCTCTTCTTGGGACAAATAACTTAAAATGGACTCAACTTGACAAAACGGTCTGGACTCGATCAATCTCTTTACAAATCAATGATGGCCAAGGCTTCTCCTCTTGTTCCGAACTTGCATGTTCTTCAAGCTCAGCCAATGCTCTTCCCTACAGCCACTGCCATAGCTCATACCGGGTCACTGTTGCAACAGCCATGTTCCCGTTCAGAAGGGCTGGGAAGTCCACGGCCAGCTCCGACTGGGTACCATACGGTCATCCACCCATCTCTCAGAATCCGTGTACTTCAAAAGACAATGCAAACAACATGCTAAGCTGCTAAAACTTGAACCTGATAGAGAGGACTGCACATACTCGCCATAGTAGGGTTTTCTTGAATGATTTCAAAGGTCTCACTTTAGCTGCTTCGCAGCCACACAAAGAGATGAGAACAATCTCAGTGAGAATTCGTGCTTTCGGACATCCGTGTCCTGGTGGGCCAGGGAATCCAAAATGATTGCCCATTGCAGCCCCAAACAAGCTATCAGCATCCTGGGACGTGTTGCTTTCGGACAGCAAGTTTGCAAGACGCTTGATATTAATTAAAGGCTACTAGTAACAAGGGCATTTCTACTAGGAGCAAGGACGCTACTAGTAGTTCCTGACCTTACTACTACAGTAGTAGCATTCTTGCTACTATGCTTTGTTGCCAAGTTGCGTAAAGCCAACTGCTCCAAGGCCATACGCCTTTCGCAAGAGCACAGTTTCTGGCCCCAAGACAGGTTCCTTGTCAACATCTTTCGTTTGAACCCACTAATGTGGCCGACAAGAGGCAAGCGCCTTCAAGAATGCCTTTAAATATCCGAAGCCCAGAAATGTCATGAGTGTCACACCTCAGTTAACTCAGTCTCATAGAAGCACAGTGACACGGTGACACAAGCAAACTGCTTCGAACATTGTCAGTATATCGACACAGTGTTTGATGCTCTCCGAATGCTCACCTTGTTCAACTGTCCCTCATCCTTTCCATTTCAAAGGCCGAGGAGCCGATGTAACAACTTTGAGCTCCAGAGTCCATGTCTGGACTCGGCACACCTTTGTTTGTCCGCTTGTAGAAGATCACAAGGAAGGCCTTGTTTCTTGGATGATGTGAACGCTTGAGAGGTGCAAGTTGCAAGACTTTTCAAGACTAGTAACAAGTGCATCGCTTCTAGTAACAAGTGCATCGCTTCTAGTAACAAGTGCCTTACTAGTAGTAACAAGTGCATCGCTACTAGGAGCAAGAATGCTACTCGGAACGGCATGGTCAGATGGTGTGGGTCGAGCATCGGCCTTGAAACCCCTCCAGTAGAAGGAGAACCGACGAAAGCCTGGGTTCCCTCCTCTCAACATGCATGACACAACCCTTTACCCTACACACCAGGCCCTACACCCCAAGTCTTTCTGCCCTTCCAAGAGACCAATTGTGCGCAGCCTGTCCTAAGGTCAGGAGGCCATATTGTGAACACAAAACTTGGATCTCATGGCTTGCAGGATCCAAACTTGTCTATGTTAATCCATCATGATCTATGATGATGTGGCTGCAAAGCGATCTTTTTGCATGAACATGAGGCCCATGGCTATGCTGCCAAGTAGCAGCAAAGCGAAGCTTCTCCCTGGTCTCACCCATCGTGGAAAGTCCTACGGCAAACTATATTGAAACTACAGTAGATGTCTACTCAATCTGATACTGCGCGCATCTGCTCCATCCCGTGAAAACTCTATATGAGAAATCACCAGTCACCAGTATGTGTTGCCTCCTCTCTCGTAGTCTCTCGCCTTGGTCAGTATATGAATTAGACATCGCATATGTTGATACTTTTGTTCCTTCCTTTCTGTTCCTTTTGCTTTCAATGTGTGATTCTTTCTGTCACTCTGGGGGTCCAAGATGTCAAATCGCACCAAATGCTGCTTCCGAGGTGCTCCGTGGTTGCAAACGTATGCTCTTGCCTGGAGTAAGTGGCAACATGGTCAGAGACAGCGGTCACTTTCGCAGTGAAAAACGCTCCGATGACAGCAGGAAGGGATGGTAAACAAGTGAACAAAACTGTCGAACGATTTGCAATTGGGTGCATCCCTTTACTTGCCCAGGCACTTCAATATTGTCCGATGTGCCATGGCGCAGCGAGCCTGTAGAGTGCCAAGCAACTGTTCAAATCTGTTGCCCAAGTTCACTGGGCACTGGAAAGCAACGGGAGTCTGGCGGAAGGCACCTCGACGAGGATTCACGGCCACGTGTGAGCTCAGCTTCTCATCTGAGGTTCCATGTTCTTTGCTTCAGCCAAACTCTTGGAGTGTCTAAGCCAAAATAGTTCAAGGAAGTACCCCACTGTCTGCAAGCTTGCGGTTGACGAAGCATAGCTAAACAATCTTTCAGTTATCTGTGATCCTGCCTGGCTTCATCTCATGAGCAGCTGTGTTAAGGCGGTCAAGCTTGTCAACTGCTTCCGCTTGAACCCAACAGTTCTTTCCAGTGAACTAACACTCTGTTTGACTGTTTGGCAACTTGCTGGAGCTCTTGGCCTGAAAGACAAGCTCAGAGGAAACGCCATGCCTTTAGTCGGTAGAACTGATCATAGCTCTACATTGCTCAGTAGTGGTCGTGGTGAGTTGTGGGGTTCTGGATGGTTCTGGGGCGCGGGCAAATAATTCAAGGCCAGTAAGCGGTTTTGTGAAGGGTTCTTGGATGTGGGAGACAGCTCAATGCAGCGCTCGTACATGCGCAAGGCCTGACCATCCGATAACAATCCGGACGAGCACCGAACCGACAGGAACAAAAAGTCCCAACCAAACCAACCCTGCACTGCTCTGCACCACACCTGTTCATACTTGTTCTGAGCAACATGAGAACCTACTTTATCATCTTTGTCCTCCACGCTGAAGCTCCAACTTTGCCTGTGCCAAATCTCCATGATCCCAAAAAAGCCATCCCAAATTGTTGTAAGCTTCGGCCTTGGCAGCCGCACACAAGCAATCAAGACGACATCGCGGTGACAACCCAGGTACGCATTCCAGTTACTGCCTAGACATGGCAAATTCTTTGTGAAAGGCTGAGGTGCTGGCATAGTTCGGTGCGACTGAGACCGCTCTGGAAAGGTATTCAAGCGCCTTCACCATAGACATCGCTGGACACAAAAAACAAACGCGATATTGTGAGGTTTGGCCAATGACCTCTGTCAGTCGGCCCGAAGTGGTGTAAGCCACACCTCAAACGTCTGGAACTGGGTGTCAGCACATGGCACGGAAGATGTCTCAGGGCTCCGGGCCCAGGTTGTTCAGTGTCTGGGCAAAGCGAGGATTGCACTGAATGGCCAGGTGGTAGTATTTCAAGGCCTTAGGAGAGAGGAGATTGACAGCCAGCTACAGAATGACACACATAAAATCATATATATATATATACACCACAAGAATTCACAATTCAATGTATCTCGCAATACAGCAACACCGGCGCCTCAAAATGGGGTATCAAAATGAAATGATAAATCTTCCCCAACCCGCAAGCTCCGATGTGAAGACACGCTGTTGATGTGCGCTTCGGTGGTGCAGTCGCCTTCTCGAGATTCTCCTGTTCCTTAAAGATGACACCCATATTGTTGTAGGCCTGAAAAACAGCGACGATCTACTGGGATGATTGTTCCTCACATGTCGCTGCCGTAGGCCGAGGCCTACCTCCGCACAACGAGGGTCAAAGTGAACTGTCAACTGGTAGTTGATAAGCGCCTCGCTGCGCAAAAAGAAAGAACTCAAGTGCATCACAAAACCCACTGGTTCCAACCAAGACTGCAACAGCCTGTTTGCAACATCATGGCAAACACTGAGAAGGGGCTTAAGCACAACCAAAGAATACTTTGAATTGACTCTTCAGCAGCCTCTGCACGGAGTTCAAACAATTTGATCCATTGTTGGCCTTATCGTACTTGTGCATCTCTGCATAGGACACGCCCAAATTATAGTATGCCTAAGCGTTCTGATGAGTTTTTCAACACTACAGCAAGACTTTGAGACACCAAGCACTCCAGCGTTCGCATTGCTTGGACAGTGAACCAGCGCCTGCCAGGCAATCCGACAGAAAATGAATCAAAGCACACAGGAACTTGATTGAATATTCACTGCACGGCTTTGGCAAGCATGGAGACCTGTCGCTGGACACGCCTACTTAATTAAGTAAGGGAGAGGACACAGGATAGCTCACACTTCCTTGAAGAAGCGCTCGCACAAATGAATCTTATGATTTGGTTCCTAGACTTTTAGGGAAACTTAAGTGTCGTTCTCTGGGTTTTCTCAAGATGATCAAGCGATCTCGTCCTGTCAAGCTTTGGATCCCATGCGAATATTCTCCATTTTGTCCACTACAAAGACTGAACCAAGGGAAAACCTGATACAAAAGCCAGAAAAGGCCATCAACCAATGCTTAAGGAGCAATTCAAGTGGCTGAGTTCGCTTTTGGTTTCAGGGTGGATGTTTACTTTGAGCGTTCGCAGAGATGTGAAGCATGGTCCTTGCCTTGCATTGAACAGTATATCAAAAGGAATGAGCTGGAAAAGGTGTCAACAGCTGGCTACACAGTGGGCTTGAAGACACGTGACCAGACAAAGGTGTTGTGCAAAGCCTGGACAATTGCCACCAAAACTACATGGTTTTTGTAGCGAATTGACACTTCACATACAGCACGGTACACATCGGCTTTCGCTCGTTGGGTTGTGGCCGGTTTTTGTGAATCAGAAGGTTGGGGACACATTTTACAAGAGTTACGCTGAAACATCCCTGAGGACGCACATCCAGCAGTACAAGAAGATGAGGAGCTTTCAGAGATTGGAGAATCGTTGGAGAAATTTCGTGACTCGAACATATGCAACATTGGAAACAGTAGCATCTAAGTAGATGCAGCATCCTGGTTACATCCTATACACAAAACAAAGTGTCAGATTACAGTCAATGGTTGACTCAGGAAGCTGGTTCACTGTCGACTCCTTTCATAAACATCCCACGAAAACAACATCCTGGGAGGATTTCAAGCCATCGTTAGAAGAAAACTGGTGGCCAGTTTCACAAAAATTCAAAACAGTTAGTGTTGATATCCAACAAGGGCGTGTTTGAGTGGACAAGCCGATGAATAATACATCACAACAAGGGACATATTGTTGGACCATATACCCGGGGAGGCACATTGGCAATGGAGAGTACAATCAGAATATTGACAGGAGTGTTGTCCACATTGGCAGAAGAATTTCCAGAAGTGTCCAGCAGAGAGTTGTTAGCACGGGTATATGGGTAATTGCTAAACACAAGAGAATGCTACAAAGGGTGCAGTCCAATGCAACATGCATTGGGAAAGAGCCCAGATGAGTGTGACAGAATGTGAGGGCCGTGCGGGAACTCAATTTCGACAAGAATTTAGATTGGAACAGGTGCAATACTTTGTGGGCCAAATTTCGTGGTAGGCGCAATACCTTGTGGACCTAGGAATGCAAATTTCGTGGCACGTACAGCACTTTGTGAACTTGAAAGCGCAGAGAGAGAGAGAGAGGTAGATAGAGAGAGATAATGGAAGAGAGATAGTGAGAGAAACAGATGGATGGATGGATGGATAGATAGATCGATAGATAGACAGATCGATAGATAGATATATAGACAGATAGACGGATAGGTAGACAGATATGTACACAAATGGATATGTTGAAAGCTGGGTGAGGTTGAAGTGGCCCTCAGCATCCACCATTGTGGGTTTTGCAGGTCATGTGTCATTAGACATGTTCATGCAAACACTAAAGATAAACAGCTAAAGCCTTGAACACCTCTTTGTGGCGTAGTCACAGCTAAGCGAAGGTGGGCCTTATCATCCACCGTTGTGGCGTTGTCAATGCAAAGAAAATAGTGGTTTTGGTACTTTGCCCCGTAGCAATCGTGTAAATTAAGAAAGCGGGAGTGGGCGTGGGGGAGGACGCAGCGCCTCCCCTGTAATGAAAACAAAGTATAGTCAGCAACCCGGCACTGAAAGCAACCGCCTGGGTTTAAAGGTCAGCGCTGCATTGAACCAAGCAATTGCCGGGAAAAAGTTGCGCTGCGTCTCCGAGTTTCAAGTTGTCATAGGTCATAGGTAGCCAAGTGTTTGATGAGATTGCTTAGTTGTCCCGTAGCAATCCCCTAGTTTTGGGCTCACAAGCATAAGCGGCAAGATGGATTGATGATACATGGTTGATTTTTTGACGCGCGCGCCCAAAGGACCTATGTAGCGTCAGAAGGACAAGGAAACCAAGGGAGCGGGGGACCAGGGGACCAGCAGACCACGGGCGTATTCTTATTTTACTTCTCAAAAGCGACAGAATCAACTAATCAAAGATCAAAGAGACTCCCTACGCTACAAAAAGACGATCAGAAGGAACAAAATAATGCCAACCAGGAGAAACAGCAAAAAACAACAGCCAGAAAGACTGCGCAAAAAGCATAAAGGAAAGAAAGAGGGTTCACAAAGAAGCAGTGAAAAGCAAGGACAAGTAAACCAAGCGCAGAAAAGCAGGAAAAACAAAAAATGCAAAGAAGCAGTGAGAAGGAAGGAAAAGCGACGCAAGCACAGAAAAACAACAAAAAACATCCAAAAATAGATACCCCTCCGTTTCTGGGTCCAGCACAAGCTCTAGCAACGAGCTCAGGAAAGGAAGCATTGTCACGTTGTATAGAGCAAACCGGTTGTTGAAGGCTGCTTGCAAGCAGCTTCGCAGAGCCACAGAGAGTGAGGCAATCCTTGAGGAGTTGTCAGGCCCAGTCGAACTTCTCTGGACATTTCAGCCACTTTCAGTCACATTAAGAAGGATGAGAAGCGTCCACAACAAAGGGACCAGGCGATCTGGATCCTAAACAAATCAAGACAAAGCAGAGAAAAGAGATGAGCAGAGGAGAGGAAAGCCTCCGGTTCGAGCAGACCTAGAAGGGACTATGAGTCCTTGAGTTGTTACGTTGAACAACCCCGAGGCCTATATGGCCAATCAGTTGGAGCAGAAACAGATTAGAAGTTCAAGAATCTTAGAACGCCGATTGATTGACACCAGAGGAGGCAATTCAATTCTGCAAAGCCAAAGACAAAGAGGTGAAGAACTTCATTGCAGCGCACAGCTTTCAGAGGGCCAAAGAGAAAATCCAGACGAGGAAGAGATCATTGGCACGCGATGGTTGCTAAAATGGAAGCATAGCCCGTCCCACAAGGACTGAAATTATCCCGGCAAGAGACACCAAACAGTGTGTATATATGAGGTCTAGAGGTGTAGTGTAGCAGCAGAAAGTCTACAAATCTAGATGCGTTGGGGTCCAGAGAGGTGATGGTGGTGATGAAGGTGGAGGTCGTGGTGGTGAGTGAGTGGGTGAGTGGGTGAGTGGGTGAGTGGGTGAGTGGGTGGGTGGGTGAGTGGGTGAGTGAGTGAGTGAGTGGGCGAGCGAGCGAGCGAGCGAGGGAGCGAGGGAGGGAGGGATTGATGGAGTGAGAGTGAGAGTGACTCGAAGATCACAGCCATGTCCAAAGTCCTGCACCTGCCACGAAATGTCACGAAAAGTCGACTTTGGACCACCAAAACACAAGGTTTCCCTTGCGCCTGTCATGAAAAGTGACCACCATGTGCGAAAATGCGCGCGGCACCACAATGAGAGCGCAGTCGCGACAAGCACCCGCCGCCGCCCAGATTTCGCGAGCCTACGCAGTCCAAATGCACGTGGACGATTTTGAGAGGCATGAATGTACCGTAAATAGCAGCGAATTAGCCGGACACGGCCGCGCGACACAGCGGTCTAACACAGGTGCTTAACCGTAAGACCCCCTACACTGTTTGCGGGAAAAGGCCTAGGCCAGAGCTAGTGTGTTGGGCTTTCAGGACCCCTCTTGCAGTGAGAGAGAGAGAGAGAGTTCAGCACCTACAACATCAAAGACGTGCAGACAATTGTTTTCCAATTGTGCTCTGGGAAGAAATTCCGCATTTCAACTGGTGATTTGAGTGGGGCATTTCTCCAGGGCGAAACTCTCGAAGAGCCTCTGCGGTGCAGGCCACTACCAGAGAGATGTGCCGAGAGTTGGGCATAATTAGGGGAATAAAATACTCCAATGCTGTTGACAAGGGCGAAAGATTGGGGTACTTGAGATTTGAGATTGACAACAAACACTTGCTGTTGGATTTTGTTGGACAACCTAGGACAATTGAGGTCAGCCGTGCACGGACATGTAGATAATTTTTTGGTTGCAGGTAATTAATGCGTGAGACAGCCATACAATCACTCTAACAAAACTACAACTGGTAAACATGAAAAAACAGGTTGTTCGGAACAGTGTGAATTGGAGGTGCGACAGATTGCGACAGCATGATGATTGCAGTATTTCCTTGAAACAGAGTCGTTTCATAGAGGGCCTGGAGGAGATCACCATCACTCCTGATCAAAGTCGCCAAAGTGACCAACCCACCACCGACAAAGATAAGAGCTGGTTGAGAGGAACCTGAACATTAGGCAGTCTTTGCTGCTTGTGTGGTCAAACCTGCGCTACTAGAGGCTCCTGGCCTTACTACTAGGAGCAAGGACGCTACTAGGGGCTCTTCATGTATTCAGCAAATGTGAGGTTTCTCATTTCGACAATTCCAGTGCATTGGAGGTCAGCAACCATTTCTCGCATGTGCAGATCACCAGCATTGTGAGACACAGGCAGCACTCGATGGGGAGGATGACCTTCTTTACTTGAGAGTTCTCCGGCAAATGACAGGAGGATGTTTGGACCTAAGAGATCCCAACCCAAGCTCTTGTGTGCCGGCATTGGTGACAGATTCCAACAACCACAGGGCGACAGTGGTGGTCAAGGATGCAGCAAAGAGAAGTGACATTGAGGCCATACTTGAGAGAAGACTAATATGATCACTTATTATAGAAGACTGCAAGATAGCAATTCGTTGGGTACATCTAGGTGCCATGCTTTCAAACTCCCTGACCAAACCGACGAAAACAAAAATGTTGGATTACGCGAGTCATGATGATGAACTTTCGATAAAAAATTGTTTATGATAAATCCCGAGACCGAAAGAAGCAGGGCATCAACACTTTTGAGGACCAGGGCTCAATGCACTTGGGCGTGCACAACACACAAGGGTTCACTTTTTGATTTCGCGTCCTCCAAGTCGATGGTTCCATGTTCTCACATTTATTGGAGTAGAATGGTGGCAGTGCGAATTCGGCATTCGTCGTCAAACTTACAGTTCAAGACCCCCCTTGGCGTGTGATCAAAACATGGGCTGATCCGCTTTTCACTAGGTACTTTGAACACACACATTAGATCACATTAGCATGGCCTCTCTGTAGCATCTGATGGCACCCTTAGGGTCCGACCTGAGTTGAGATTGAACATCTGATGAAGTGATTGACAATGGGCTCAAGCTTCAATAAAAGTTTCCGTAAAGTTCCCCTCCCCTGAGAGGAAAACATGAAACAACGGTCAAATCATGTCAAATCCATCAGAATCCATTAGAATCAAAGGCTTCACTAGAATCAAAGGCTTCTGTCAGATAGGCTCTTGGGTGAAAACTCGGACCTGCGAACTCACGGAGTCTGAGATTGCCACGCTTTGATCTGCAGTCCGTGATTGATCAGCGAGACCGCCAGGTTTACAGGAGTCGTCCTGAAGTGTCCGGTGCAAGACTGTCAGCAATCCGTTGGTTTTCTCAAAAGACTCTTATCGCATTTGTGGAAAGCCAAGCCAACCTGCACATTCAAAGGTTTTTGGACGCATGCTGCTCCTCTCCATCATGCTGCGGGCACGCCTCTCTCTTTTCTCACATGCTTTCTGCGAGTATGACGTGAAACGGAACTCATTGGTCCCATAGGACAGGAAACGAACTGGTCGAACCAACAACTACCATAAAAGCGACACGGTCTTCTGTCGAATCTTGATTTGTGATTTCCAAGCTTGCAGGCACATTCTGAGCAAGGGACGCTCCAGCACAGTCAGCAGTTCAAAGTCAACCTCTTTTTTCAACTGTTGCAACATCCCATGTTGTTCCTCTGCAGCTCGCAAATTCACCACATCTCGTCTCTGTGTTTGCAAGTCCCACTCGAACAAATGTTGGGCACTTCGCGGTGACATCTGCTTGGGAACAACCACCGTGGTCCCAGTGTATGCCATTTCTTGCGGCATCTGGCTGCCCAAACTCCTTGCAATGACGAAAGTCACCTCCTTAGGCACCTCATCTGCAACAAATCCTGCAATCTTGAGTTTGGACTGAGAAAGCACAACGGCTACTGCAAGTGCAAAGGTTTTCTTGCAAGAATCGCCGCTTTCTTGCACCACGGTCGCTTCAACCAAGAGAATATTTCCAACCTGCACTTCGGTACGAAATGCGGTGCCAGAACCAACCACTTCGTCGCCTGAGATCGTGATTTTGCCCGTGCCAGTGCTGACATGCAAATGGCCCATGCCCAAGATGTGAGGAAGGCTTCCTTCTCCAAACCATTTACACATTTCAATCAATGCTTTCTCCGCCTCCGGTCGCAAGGTGCTCGCATCATACTCCCCAGTGATCGTGGGCGCCGCTGCAATATTTCCAAAGGTGTCTTTGTCATAACACCTATGAATGACAGCGCGCATCTCTTCCAACACCCGTTGCAAAGACACGTGAACTTTCAGGATGCAGTCATTCATCCTGATGCACTTGGCCCTCACATCCCGCAAGGCCGCCATACATCCGTAGAGCTCCACTTTTGCCAAGTCTTCTTTCACCACCAACGCCCCTTTTGTCAAATCATCAACTGTGATGGAACCACTTCTTCCATGGTCAACCTTGTCAAAAATTCGTTTCACAAGAAGCCGGTGCAAGCCAGCATCACTTAGTGACTGCTCAAGCTTTTGCTGGAACTGTTGATGTGCAGAAGTGCCATGCCCAAGTGAATGCTTTGAGCCACTTTTTTCACTATATCCGCCGCTGTGGCCACTGGCCTGGCGATCTACAGATGGTCTTGCGACCTTGGGGTGCATCTTCAAGCCAGTGGCACGCTCAACCATGTTGGCTGACAGAATTTGCGTGCCGAACTCCTTGTTGCAAGCCTCTTGGAGGGTCTTCATCGCTGCCAAGAATGCAATCAAATCAACACGTTGTGTCTCGAGCTCATCTCTGGCTTGCAAACCCAATGCTGATTCACAAAGGACACCTATGACCATGTTCATCAAACCGAGACCCAGAACAATGGCAAGAAGAAGTAGCATCATCAAATTCAGCCAATCACCTTTGGCTGTTTTCAGCACTTCATCCCAGTGGTCGAACGTGGTCACTTGCCAGCCTGTGAGAAAGGCACTTCGCAGGTCGCCAAAATACTTTTTGGCAGGTGTTCCTTCTGCTGAATCATTCCCCACCATGGAGACGGCATAGATTGCAAATGCATAAAGTACAATCAGAATAAGAACCAGGGCCCAGCACACTTGCCGCCAGGTCTCAATCAGCGCAAAGACCATCTTCTGCAGCTGCGGAAAGAGCTTGAAGACCCGCAAGAGCTTGGCCAGCCGAAACAAGCGGAAAGCACGCAGAACCGACAATGCAGAGGTATCCAGATTTAAGACACCAGCGTTGCGAAGCTGCACAATGACCAGTGAATCTAGTAGGGACAACACTATGATGACAAAGTCGAATAGCACCGAAAATTCCCTCAGACTGTAGCACATGGCCGAAAGAATGCTGCCAAGCCCACCAGGAGGACAAGGAGGGAGAATAAAGCACCTCATTCGAGATTTCAGCTGGAAAAAGCGGCTAACTTTGCGGTTTGCCTGCTCAAAGAAATTGAAGTCGGTGTCTGTTTCCTCCGGCTGGTAAACAAAGTTCAAATCTGCAGCCAGAATTGCACGAAGAATAAATTCAATTGTAAAGACCATGGTGAAGCTGAGGTCAATCCAATAGATCAGTGTATTTTCGTCTTCTTGACTGGCCTGTATGCCAACAAAAGCTCCGTTAATAACAATCAAGCTGCCAAACAACACGTCAATCGGCATGACCAGCTGCTGCTCTTCTGCATCAAGGTTGAACTGATTTGCCGTCTCTTCCATCTTTCTCACATCCAAGGATGACTGCACAGGCTCTACTTTTAAAGTTGGAGGCGCCCACTTGACGTCATTGTGAAGCCGAAGTAGGGTGAATGACTTCTCGGCTCTTGTATACAATACGCTCAAAGCGTCATAAGCGAAAGCACACAGATTCCTGCCATTCTTCTCCACCTTTGCCATGGAAGACTCCAGCTGACGCAAACTAATGCAAAAAAATAACAGATCAACTGGTCTCAAGGCAGTTCCTGCCTTATTTCGTTTCACACTGTTGGCAACGCTTCGTGCAAAGTAGGATTGAAGTTCAATGATGCCAATGGCTTCAACAATGCCGTCAATCTCAACATTGCCATCTTCCTCAAATGCAGCAACAAGCAGGTCAAAGTCCTTTGAGGAAAGATCCAAGATTCGAAGGAGCGCCTTCACATTGTTGTCCTCCAAGGCTTCCACAAATTCATCCTTTGCAATGTATCGATGGTTTTTCAGCAAGTGCGTGCCGTGTCTTGTGAGCTGCAGGCGGAACAACTCAAGAGCCTCTTGCTGCGATACAAGCCTTTCTGCTCCAGTGGTTCGTACTTGGCGAGCTTCCAACTTGAAAGCGGTGTTGCATAGAATACCCACCACTAAATTCATGAGGCCCAAACCCAATATACAAGCACTTAACAGGACCACCACGGCCATGGCAGTTCCATGGATCCCCCCGAGTTCAAATGCCGAAGTCCTCACCAAATCCACCCAGCCGTCGAAGGTGGAAACTTGAACAAGTGCCCACATTGCCATGGGAAGGGAGGTAAAATATGGAACGATTTGAGTGGTTCCCACCACATCCCACTGTGTCATGGTCACCAACAGCACTCCAAGAATGAAGATCGTCATACCCAGCAGCAGGACGGCCCAAAATAGAGTCTGCAAAGAGTTGAGGATCCCTTCCACTAGCATAGCCAGTTGACGGAATGCTCGTAGCACTCGAACCATTTTTACAAGCTTCAGTAAGCGGTACAAGCGAGCCAATGAATACACTCCCCCGCTGCCAACACCCCCCAACACCCAGGTGTCTGTAATGCTCAAGGCCACAACAATCACATCAAACTGCACCCAGCTATCGGTCAACAGCATTATGCCAAACTGGCGGCATCCACTTATGACTGCTCGCAATAGAATTTCCACAATGAAAGCGATCAGGAAGACGTTGTCAAGCACTTGCCAAAGCAAGTCGCTGCCACATTGACAATCCGTTCGAACTCCCATGGCCACGGCATTGGCCAAGACGATCAGACCAAACACGGCGTCAAAAGTCGCCCACCTTCACTGTTGCACAGAACAATTTTTAGAACTACAAGAAAGCAAAATAAAACTACCGTGAACTGTATTCTAGTCTCTTGCAACATTTGCAAAACGTTATTTGCCCAAGCTCGCGCACCTTCGAGCCTTCATCAATTCATTTGTTACTGTCCGCATGAGCTGAATCTCATCAGGAGGGAGCTCAAAAATGGTCGTTGCCTGTACTCTGGGCCGCAAGGCAAAATGACGCCAGCGGTAAACGGCATTGCCCACGATTGCTTCAGCGGCCTCTGCGCAAAAGAGTTCAACATTCTGATGTTGAAATCAAATTATATACATATATAATATATGTGTGTGCAAATTGAGAGATTCACTTCCCCTGACAATGAGACAGAGTCACTTTAGGGCTTTGTGCTGTTTGAGTTCAGAGTCGAGACCATAGACCATTTTAGAAGCCTAAATCTAGGTACATAAGGTTAAATTGTACAGAATCAAGAGCACCCAGAATCGAGCTCACAAGATCAAACACACATGTCATCACATGTCAGAAAAAAACATAGGCAAAATCTATAAAATCAAGATTCAAGATGCAACAACAAAATACTTACTGTACATCAATGGGGCGAGAAGCCCCATGATTCTGGAGTAGCTACAAGGGCACAGGAATTGCTCAGGCCCTAGAATTGTAGACAAAATAATGATAAAGAATGTACTGTATCATGTTCTAAATTCAGATTGATTGTCTTCTGGGACTGGCATTAATTTGCAAACCATTTTCGCAGAGCCAAGGATTGCAAGAAACACACTCTTTCTAGAAGCAAGGCACAACCTCTTGAAACCAAAAACCTCTTGAATCATAGGACCTGAGCTCTTTCTTCAAACATTGACATATGTGTTTCTCTATAAAAATCAGGTGTCCGAGCCTTCAATTGTGCCTACACACCCTCTTGCCCAAAAGTGGTGCGTTAAGCTACATTGTTCAGACTGCAGTGCCTGTTGTCTAAAATGGTACAGTAAGGTTGTTGGAGCATAAGGTACTCAATTTTAGACAGGCTATTGGCTGCGTGACCGTTTAGGGCGAACTCTTCAGAGGAGAAAGCAAAGAACGCTGAATCTTGACGAACAAAAGGACCCTCGAGTTTTCCCTAAATGGGAGGTTCCTTGACGGCACAAAGGCTATGATTGGAGGGTAACCTCTGGCAGAGTTGGTGAGCGGAGGTGATGTGTAGGAGAGTAAGTCGATGAACAAATGTGATGACTTATCAAATGACGGGAGGGTCTTGTGATGATGTCTAATGGAGTGGTTTGTAATGCAGTGAAGTGTTTTGCGGTGATTTGTGATCTGGTGAAGTGTAACGTCGTGACTTGTGATATGGTGGTGAAGTGGACTGCTGGGAAATGTTGTGTGGGAAGAACTAAGGCTCAAAGAGTATCATGCATGCTGCATGGTTGCTTCATCACTTTCTAGAACCTGGGAAGGACAGGTCAGCTGAAGATTGAACGTGGACATTGGAGGACATTGGATTGTTTTGGCCCGCCTTGTCTCCAGGACCACTCATATACCCAAAGAGCTTTGCAGGAACTGGGACGTGCAAGTCTTCGGCAAAGAGCGCTGCTTCAACTTTTCCATCTATGTCGATGCTGGCCATGTGCTGGGACAAGCGGAATCTGACCTTCACAGTTCTTCCAAGCGGAATTTCTGATGTAGAAACCTTGGCACGAAAGTTGCCATGGCGCAAATAGAACAGCAGTCGAGTCGAAGAGGGTGCAACACAAATCCGAGGAATTTGACTCCGAATGGCACCGCCAATGGCAAAATGAGCAATGCCTCGGCGATCCTTTGCCTTCTGCTTTAGATTCAGGTCGAAGGAAATCTCGAAATTGTTGGATGAGTCAACTTTTTTGATCACAAGGCCACGCTGACATGCCTGGGCCGTTGCCCGGAGGGTTGTGAATGATGTAGATCCAGGGACTCCAGCCAAAGGGTCTTGGTCTGCATCTTCGCCCTCCACCATGTGCCCGCCAACAACGTCAAGGTCACCATCAGCATCTTCATCGTCACTGTCTTCCTCATCACCATCATCAAGCAACGTTCTGTCCCAATCAGCCTCTTCTTGCAAACCTTCTTCTTTGAAATGCAAGTATGCAGTGGAATTGGTTTCTCTCACCGGTGTCTCACGGGGGACGCCGTCTGTGGTAGGGACGTCGTTTGTGGTTTCAGCATTGTCCACCAAGCTTGCAAATGGTTTTTCCATTGCTAGCGTTGGTGTTTCAGCGCCGAAACATTAGCAAACAACGAAGACCTCTGAAAACTTTGTGTTATATAATATAATTAGATCGATTTAGGAATCTTCAGTGTTTTAGTTTTCGATGTACGACTTTGTCACCAATGAATCAGGCCTTCGTGTCAGACTTTACACAAGAACCTATGCCGCTTGCATGACATTGTCATCTAAGATCTTCCGTTGGCCTTAAATAAAGTTTTTTGCTTTGTCTCAGCTGCTCTGCTGCGCAAAACGGCTTGAGGGCGAAGGCTCATCAGAAAATTTGTGTACTAAATCTACGATTCGTATATATAAACCGACTGCATGTGCCATGTGGATAGATCATGATACATCATAATGTGATGCGCAGGATCAAGTCAACTGTGCTTCATCTTGGCAGCCTTTGCTGAGACTGCTGCTCACAATTGGGATTCAAGCGGAGAACGGCACGATACCAATCTGCCGCTGCCTGACTCTTTGCTCCCAACACAACAACTTACATTTGTAGTGGCTCTTCAGCTGCTACAAGCCAGGAGCAAAGGGCATCGCTACTAGTAACAAGGACGCTACTAGGGCTCCTGGCCTTACTACTCACGAAAGTTGCGGTCCGTGTCTGAGCGCTTCCTCCGGCCCTACACCGTATTGGTGGGTGCCGAGGAGTGTGAGGGAATATCTTGTTGTAAGATATGACCAAAGATGCAATGTACACCAGTCGTAAACGCTACCTAAGTGAGACCGAATATCCGCGTGGCGCAAAGGGGTTGAGGCTGGTAATTCCTAATTTGGCGCAGCAGGAATAGGCACCGAATTAAGTTCCCCATGTCGATTCCATTTCTTTCTCAAATTTCGGCGATACAAGAATCGTTGTTCAAATGTAAGAGGAATTGCCTCCACGGCTGGAATGGAAGGTGTGACGAATCGCATCGGAATGAGTCCATCCGGATGATAAGGTGGTTTACAATGGAGATCATCGGCATACCGTGCGAGAGTGCGTTGAACGGCCCCTGCGTTAGCAATCTGTGGGCGCAATGCAAAGCCACCAGTATATGAGCGGCCCCAGCCGATTTGAGTCAGGCTAATGGAGCCGGTTCTTGAATATTTGGGCAAAGGTGGTGTACTGGAATAGCCTTGCAAGATGGGGCCTCCCATCTGGTGCCCTGGGGTGGATGGGGCCCCAGATTTTTTTTAGTACTCAGTGGTGTAGGACCTAATGCTTGCCAAAAATTATTCCATATGTGAAGAGTTGTCAGGAATAGTTTAAAGCAACTTCCAACGCGCAGTCTATATGGCATCCTGAGGGAGGCAGTTTCTTTTCATGGCAAACATGTAGTAAAGGCAAGGCCTGCACACCACAAGTTTTACTAGTACTTGCGCTGCTAGAACTAACCCAAAGATACCAACCCCTCACCAGATGCCTTACTAGCTTTTGCCCTCCTGTATACAATCTCCATAACCACCAGAAACTATTCCAGGGGTGGTTCAGTTCTGGTAGGGGCCTAGAATAATATCACCTCCCCTGTTTGCCTCTATACCTAACCCTGCCTGCCACTATGCCTCACCCAAAACCCATCACAAAACCCTTAAGCCTCAAGCTTTCCTAACCCTTACCAGAAGACTTAAGTACTAGTAATTTTCATTCTGCTCCCTATTTCCTGCGCAAGATAAAACTATTCCTAGGGGTGGTTCTGTTCTGGTGGGGGCCTGGCATAATATCACCTGCCCTGTCTGTTGCTGGAAAGAAGAAACCAACCCAAAACATCCAACCTTACCAAGCTCTCCAATTCTAGTTACTAGCATTTGTGCTCCTAGGCTCCTAAGACTAACCCAAAATACCAACCGGGGAGCTCCGAGCTTTCCAACCCATCTACAAGGCTACGAGTTCACCGCTTCCACTTATCATACGTCTCAGCTCTTTTATCTTTTCCTGCTTGTCAGCTGCTTTTCCGTACTGGGCTACCTCCTGTGTTTAATGGCCATGCACTCAAGAACCTCACCCCACTACACATGGTTTCCAGAAAACCTCTAAGGGTGATTCATAGAAACCAATAGACACATGAGGGAGGCAATTTCTGTTTTATGGCAAACATGTAGTAAAGGCAAGGCCTGCGCACCACAAGCTTTACTAGTATTTGTGCTGCTAGAACCAACCCAGAAGCCTTACTAGTTTTTGCCCTCCTGTATACAATCTCCATAACCGCCAGAAATTATTCCAGAGGTGGTTCAGTTCTGGTAGAGGCCTAGAATAATATCATCTCCCGAGAGTCCCACATATCCATGTGTGCAAGAAAATAAGTTCGAATTTGAATAGCGAATGACACTAGCTCCTGATTGGGTGCATGCCGGGTCCACGTACTCAAAGCCTCCTCAAATATAAGAGTCTTGATTCTTGAGTTAGGCATCACTGCAATGCGTTGCAAAAGTAATGTGGTATCGTGGCCAAAAGACACATTACTTGTTCTTGGAGAGAATGCAGTAGCGTCCATCCACATAAGTGAGGTGGTGTACGTGTGGCTGTGGCCTGAACGTGGATTCGATCCGGGGATGTTTCAAGTAACGTGGCCACTGCCCTTGGTAGTTAAGGGTAATGAAGAACATGACCTTGGTGTAACCAGCTACACTGGGCAGATCGGTAGTCAATGGTTCTAGTTGGCCTGAGTCTGGGTCGAAGTTAAGCGGACCGGGAAGATATCGGTCCAAGACTTGCATACGAATCGCCCGGAGAGTGAGTTCCACTTCAAGATTAGTCAACCAGGCCGGCTGGATGAGCATGGTGCGTAATCGGTTGATTTCTCGTTCTCGATCTGTGGGAGGACGTGGAAGCTGACAGATCTCTTGGACATAGTCATCTCGTGGTCCAACGAACATGGTGGTGTCAACACTTGGCGGTAAGCGTGAGTCTGGTTGATCCCTTGCGTATTCAGACATGAAAGCACTTCGGCATTGTGTTGCGAACTAATGTAGAGCTGGAGTTGCGTTTGTCCGATTCCATTGCTGCTGAGCTCGTAGGATCACACGATCAAATTGAGCTTGGTCCTGGTCAGTGACATGGATTAGAGGTTGGAGACATGTCTGCGTGGCAAATTCTGATACCAACGGAACAAAGTCGTCCATCCGCACATGGTCAGAGCCTCATTGTTCGAATCCATAGTAACCAACATGCGGTGTGGTGGTATCTGTAGTATCCGCGACATTTCCAGGATAACCATAGTATGGTGTTGAGGAGGCCATTGGATGAGAACCATGTGGACTGGATCTGTCCTACGATCGATCTCGATGGCGCACCAGTGAGCTTCAACAAGGAATAACAAGAGATTGAGACGATGGTTGGTGAACTGGAGTGGATCTTCTGCCGCCATAAGGTGCTGCAAGTCACGACTTGGACTCCATTGGACAATGGGACCAGTTTGGATATCTGATCGCCACTCTTGCAGCTTGCGCATAAACCAAAGGGCTTCGTCAGACGCTAACCAGCCATTATCTTGTAGTGCTGCTGCACAACGTTCTGCAAAAGGAGGATTTGGTGCCATGTGAATCACTTGGCAGCGTCCCCAAGCTGGATGTCCTCCACCGTATATTGCTTGGCTCCAACCCAGAAACTGTGAGTTGCCATGTGCAAAGGGAGTATTGTCCTCAGGCCAAGGTGATACCAAGAGTGACGGTAGGAAGGGCTGCAAACATCCACGAAGAAAGGTCAAATCATCAAGCTGGCGGGAAATGGTTCGATTGATTTCATTGGAACTTGACGATGCCAGAGTCAATACTTGACCACTATTCTGATGAAATGGCCGCGAAGGTTGGAAGTAATCACCTCTTGAAGGTATACTCTGGTAAACTTCATATGGCCGAGTTTTGCCAGCATCATAGATATCGACATTGTCCCAAACTGGTTGTTGGTCGTAGCGATGCACAATGGGCACGTCAAGATAGGTGCGGGAAAAATGAAATCAGTATGACTTGAATATTGAGCCATGCGATAGAAACTGCAGCGGTTGTAATCGGGTACAGCCCCACTAAATGTGGTTAGATGTAGTAGAGACTGGACGCGCGCCGTTTCATCTGTGGTGGACTCAATGATCTCATTCAAGTCAACTTGATATCTGGAGTACAGTTCAGAATCATCGCACAATATAGGGAACGAACTGTAGGGCCACGAAAGGGCAGAAATATTTGGTAGAGTATGGTCTGGAAGTTCGTGAAGTTGAAGCACTGTTACCGCAGGAGCAAAACCATTGCATAGGGCGGGACCACTGTAAGCTGCATGAAATCCAGATTGTGACGAAAGCCGTGTTCTCTGTAGAGGATGAGCCATCACTGAAGTGTAGTGCAATTCACTGAAAGGTTGATCACAGAAATCTCTGGTGGCTGAATAATGCGTCGAAAGGCAAGGTGAGACGTCGGCTGACTCTGCTGGAGAATATCTGAATTGGGAACCAGTCTGAGCACAGTCGAAGAGCAATCGAAAATCATGCTAGTTGGTAGAAATATCATGGTCAAAATTGACCAAAATCTGGTCTCCATATGTACTGATAGGTTGATCTCCACCTGTAGATTTGCCTCCGTCATTGCCTTTGAACTCATAACCTGATCTGGTGTTGTAAACGGGTACAGCCCCACTAAAGGTTGTTGAGTGTTGTGGTCCTTGCGCCGTAGGTGTCGGATCGGGTACAGCCCCTCGATATGTAGTAATCTGTGGTAGACTTTGTAACGTAATCTCATGAATCTGAGCAGGCGTCTGATGATCGAGGTCGTAGTGTGTAACCGAATGATCATAGGCTTCGTGAACAGCTGCTGCTGAAGTTGGACTGGTAGGTGCCAAAATTTCTGGTACATCATGAGTTCCAGTGGAACACAAAGATGAGGTAAATCGTCGCAAAACTTCAGAAGACTGTTGGAAACTGAAAGGTGAGGATCTGTCAAGCCGAAAATTGAGATCGATCTGACACTTATCACTTGGAATAATTGCTTGAGAATCAGGTTGCCCATATGTGAAG